CCCCCGGCTCAGGTGGATGTGTGACTCTGCTTTGATTTACTATCCTGCAGGCAGAGCATGGCAGGATCGCCCTCAACGCTCCACTGTGGAAAGCAGGGAGTGGCTCAGACGCAAGGGCCCCCCCCCCCCCACAGGCCCCCCCAGGCCCAGAGAAAGACTGCGATAGGACTCTGCTTCAGTATTTTTCTTGAACATTTTTTAATCCCAAAATTCAAGATATCCATCTATATATGCTCCGCATATATGCTAAGTACAGACAGCAAATTCCATTTACTAACCAATTACATGTGGACTATTTATCTGTGTGGCCTGTCCCCTACCGTCACCAGCAATTATCCCAAGGAAAAGGAAGATAAATGCTTCCAGAAGAGAAAAAGGCTGTTAAAAGCCTTACCGAAGGTGCCCTGGCCCTTGTACCCCTGAGCTCTCTCTCTCTCTCTCTCGAAGCGTTCAGAGTCAGCAGAGCCCTTGCCCGCCTCACTCCAGGAGGAGTTAATGAGCAGAGAGGGGGGACCCCACATTTTGGACTAATCAGTAGCTGGCAAGCAACTGTGAAGAGGCTGCAGGCGGACAGGGACTGAAACCTGGAGAAATTCTGCAGCTAGAGAGGCAGAAAGCAGGGAGAAACATTTATTCCCATTTTTAACTGCCGGGGGGAAGAGAGAACCTTTAAAAAGCCTCTGGATTTTGTTTGGCTGCAATTCTCACAAGCTCCACTGCTGTGACCAGGGCTGGTGGGTGCTTTGAGCTGTGGCCGAGGGCCTCCCTCTGTCTGGAAGCTGCAGGGGCCTCTCTGTTCACCCTTAGCCCAGTCCGTGTGGTTGTTGGTTTAGGCACCCCTCGGTTCAGTTGTCTGTCTGCCATCTTTCATTCCGGACGGGGGTGGTGCTACTCTGAACAAAACACAACCCAGATGCCCTCCTGGACTTGTGGCTGGAACAGTTGGCAGCCACGGCTGGGAGGGGGAGGGGGCATATCCCTCATGCACCAATTCTCTTTCCTGGGTGGGTGGTCACTGCTGCCTTGGCCATCTCCAGAGGGGGCTTCTTTTGCGTTTCACAAGGCCACCCCTGAACAGCAACTGGAGGCTTTAGCTGGATCAGCCCAGAGCCACGCGGGCAGTTGTGAGTGCGCCTTGGTCTGCCCATGTTACACCTCCACTCCGCAAGCGGCACTGACTCCCTGGGTGCTTAAGAAGGCCGTTCGTGATGCTTGTCCTCATGAGCAAAGCCCTTCACGGGCGGGTTATTTACCTTCACGATCCCTCTCTGCTAGGATTTTGGAAACCCTCGACCCACTGCAGTTTTCCTGGGAGGCTGATGGAGCCCCCGAGATGGATGCGGTTTGTAACGGCCATTGTGCTTGGCTGCTGCTAAGCGTGGAGTGGTTATTATTGCTATTGCTTTCAGTGAGTTTGATTCCACCAGAGTTGCTATTTCAAGATAGCCGTCCGTATCAATTTACTGAAATACTTTGGCAACTTTTGGAGGGTCCCTGATGAGTGGGGCCCAGGGACCCCAAAGAAAACCTCTAGTCCCTTCTCCACTCTTAGGTGAAGTGCAAACCAAAGATCCCGTCCAAAACCAGTATGGCCAAGACTGACTGGGAATGTTTGAAGGAGACAGCAGAGCACTAAGAGTAATGAAAAGCTCAGGACTTTGGATTTTAAGCTACATTTTTCTGTCTTGTTAGAGCAGCTGAATTATATGATATAACTGGGGCCGACAGCCAGGTATTAGAAAACCCAAGAAGCCATTTCTGGCAGACTCGTAACAAAGCCTAGTAGCCTTTAGCGCACAGGGTTACCTGAGGAAATCAAGAGTTATTGATCAGAAAAAGCCCACCGAGAGATAAAATAAATAAAACCGGGTCTCCCTGTCCCTGTCTGGAGAAGGCAGGTGGGAGTCCCACTTCTAATGAGAAGCAGGGAGGAGGGGGAAGTTCCCAACCTTTCCCTGTTGGTTACTCAGGCCGATTCCACCTTTGGTCTCATGTCCTCCCTAAAGTGCGGCTGGGTTTTGCACCCCGGCCGCTGCCAAATGCCACCCGAGAACTCGCTGGGAAGACCTCTCCAACACTATCTTGGCTTCCCCACAGGTTGCCCACTGCCCAGAGAAGCTCATCTTCCCCCGGCTTCCTTCCAAGCACTGAAAAGCGTGGGCTGCCCCACTCTCAACTTGTTCCCTGCCTGCTATCTGAGAGGCTGCTCTTCCATTCTTACACCTTTGTGATTCAAGGACGCTTCTAGCGACATTTGCAAGAATGCTGAGAGCAAATGAGAAGTTTAGCTGATAGACTGTGGGTGCAGATTTATGCAGCTAGAGGTGGGCAACACTGGACGCCCAGGTTTCCTTTTGGATTCCTCCAACATTCACCATTCTTGGAACTTCAAAGAGAAGCAGTCAATTTATTCAGGGGAAGAGCAGCCCAGCCAAGAGAGCGTCCTGGAGGAGAAAGCCCTTTCCCTCTCCAAGAGGGACCCCTGGGGAGGAAGGGAGGCCCCCCCTGGGAGACACCAACAGGCTCAAAGGAAGCTGATGCAGAAGGAGACACTCTGCTTCTGGCATGCGGCTGCATCTGGAATGCAAATACAAAGGGGAAGGCGCATTCAGAAGGCAAGCCCGCCAGCAGCCTCTGGCTAACGGCTCGTCCGCACCACCTCGGACCGCTTCCTGGCACAAACGGAAGCTTTCCTGCAAACTGAGAGCTGACAGGAGGGGGAAAGCCAGAAGAGCTGTCTACCTCCACTGTTCCCTCTCCAGCTCAAGGAGGAGGTTCCCCCGGAAGGGACAGAGGCCGCTGGGAAGAGATGGGACGTGCCGGCAAGCAGACATCCAACCAAGGCTTCTAACACTTGATGTGGCACAAACAGAGAAACTTTTCCACACTGCACAGAATCAGGCGTGAGGCTCCAGGGCAGCAGCAGCGGCTGCAGGAAGGAAGGAAGGAAGGAAGGAAGGGGTGACCAGCCCAACCATCCAAGGGAAAAGGACTTTCCCTTTGAGTCCAAGGGCTCACCTGATTCTGTGTCTGTTTTACACTCATCCTGCATGTCATCCTCATTGTCCTCATCTTCTTCCTCATCCTCCTCACAATCTTCCTCCTCATTGGCAGCCTCACCGTGCATTTCCTTTGCGATCAGCTGCCTGGCCAGCTTGATGTTCTGTGCTTCGTTGTAATGCATTTTCCTCTTCATTTCAAACTGCCTTTTTTTCTCTACCAGGAGAAACAGAATACGCAACATAACATGGCGCCAGCCACAAATTTCACAAGTTCCATATACATGAAACTGAAATCCAGTGCAATCAGATGGGGGGGGGGGATCTCTGCTAAGTCACCCCCACGTTGCAGAAATGACAACAAGCTAGGTTACATTCAACAAGGGCTGCCTGCTTTTGGATGCCTGCCTTTCCCCCCCCCCCCACACACACCGAAAAGCTACGGTGGGTGTGGGGGGAGAGGGAGCAGAAGAGCCCTTCATCAACCCCAAAACTTGAAATTTGTTTCCATCAGCCCTTGCTGACTCATGCAGAGGCCAAGGAGACCCCGTTGTCTTTGCAACACTGATGTAGACCCACCAGAAGAAGAAGAAGAAGAAATACCTCGGGCCTGGAAAGAAGACGGAGGAGAGAAGCCACTGAACTATCCGTGTTGCTTTGAAGATGCGAGAATCACAGAGCCGGGTTGTTGTTTTTGTGTGTGTGTGTGTGTGTGTGTGAGAAACAAAGGGAACGCCAGAGAATCTCTACCTGCGCTCTCACTCACTCCCCTGCAGCGACCAAGGCGGGGACACGAGAGCAGGGTCCAGGCACACCCACCGCAGGAGAAGGCAGGTCAAGGCCAGAAGGAGGGCCTGCCATATTCTTAAGAACTGTCAAGTCCAACTGACCATTTCTCTGGCTACGCAGGGACTGCACTAAGAACACCATGCGCTCCAGCCCATCCTTCTTCCTAGGGGAGCTCTTGCCCACGGCATCTCAGCATTAGTCTAGTGCAGGGAAGGGCAATTAATTTCCCCAAGGTGCCCCCTGAGACACTGGGACTGTTGTTGGGCGCTGCCAACACCGCAACGACACTCTGCCCCCTGTTGTCCCCCCCCCTCCTCCCCCACCGTTACCACCTACGGCTGAATGTGGCCCAGGGTCATAAAATGCCCAGGTCTGGTCTAGTGCTATGAAAGCGCAAAGCCACACCTACCCAATTCTTCCGGAGTCAGATCTACCTCGTCATCCTCCTCCTCCTCGTCACTGCTGTAATCCTGCCTTGCCAGGATTTTGGGGCCCTGCCCTTGCGCAGCAGCTGCCAACCTGGGGAGAGAAAATTGGAGAGCTGAGCTGAGGCCGGCTGCCTGCCCAAGACCTGGTGAGGGAACAGGGGACGGACGGACGGGCAGGGAACCGACCTCCCCAGAGGATGATGGGAACAGGGGTCTCCTGGCAGATACGGGCAATGAGGCAACTATGAAGGATGAGCAAATGTCATTTTCCCACCACAAGTTCAACCGTGGATTTAGTTCAAGATGTAACGTGCTAAAAGCAAACAGGAGAACTCTGGAGAGGAACCCACGGTTAAGGGCCAGGGAGGAGTCCTGGAGCCCCTCTGGCAGCTGAGGGGGAACCCACCCAAAAATGTTTCAGTTCCTCCCCGCTGTTCCCAGGAATACTCCAGTCTTACGAGTCAAAATAGGAAGCCACTTAGGAATTAAAAACGAAAAACCTTTTGCACTTTTTTTTTTGTTTAGCGTGAATAATATTAAGAAGTGTTGGTCACGCAAACAGCACTGTACATGGGATTTAATTCGTTCAGAATTAGAAAGTGCTCATTGGTTGTCAATCCTGTAGCACTAAGAAGCTGCTGCTGCTGCTGCTGCCTTCATGAGATGGAAAGAGGGAGCATCCTTGAGCATCCTTTCAGTCTGCCCATTCTTGTGTGGTCATGCTATGGAACAATCTCCCCGTGGAGATTCGTACCCTCACCACCGTCCAGGCCTTCCGCACAGCCCT